GGTGGTAGAAGGATGAGGTGTCTGGGGTTTGGGAAATCCCGGAAAAAAGGGAGATCAGACATTAAAGAAGGAAAGTACTACCTTAATAATTAGGAAGTCGGAAACGAGTCTTGAAAACGCCGTTCGTTTATGATTTTACCAAGAGTACGCGTCTCTAACCGTCTCGGCTAATCCTATGTATGCGCCGCGGGATCCTTCGGGCCCGTTTTACAACTGCCTTGAAATCTTAAACTAAAGAAAAGAAAATGTTCGGTATGGTACTAAGCTGATATCTCCATCATTTTTCCACTATTTTCACCGTATTAGGCACCAATCGAACCTTTGTAAGGTAAAATAGCAAATTATAGCGAGAAGACGCGCGGGGCTTATTTGTTCCTTGAAAAACGCTGCCGCTGTGAACGTGTTAATTGCAATTATCACAGTATTATACTAATTATAAAGTAGTGGAAAGATAACATTTATTATCGATAAATATAAACAGATATTTTCCATTATGGGAAACGTATTTTGAGTAACGTCTTTTCTACTTGCTCGTAAACGAGGACCTACCTTGTATTTGCCCTCTTAGCTTCGTTTCTAAACATTTTCCTGAATTCTCAGATACTGTATGCGTTGGTAGTAATTCTGACACCCTGAAATTCAGTAAGTTAGACACTACCGAGTGAAACGGTAGCGTGAAAAAGGCTGAGCGAATGCAGAGAGCGTGCAGTGTGTAGGTAGAAAACGAAAGATCAAAACGTATATGCAAAATAAATTCAAAAAGAGAATCAAAAGATTATTTTTTTTTACGACATCATATTCTTGTATAATATTTCTTCGTTTATATGAGAAATAAGTTCTATCGAAAAGCAACAGTATGAAAATTTGTTTCATCTCGTTTCTGTTACCCTATCCTTTCTCGTTAGTTTAATTGTTAACAAACGAATGTAAATTATTCTTCTTTGTACCGATAAAAAATGTTATATTTCTAAATAAAATAATGTAAATATTATTATATTTACTACCTTCTCCGTTAAAATTCTACAACGCTGAATAAATTCTAATGAGAAGTACGGATATTTTTTGGGCCGAGTGTATAACTCACTCCATTTGCAAGCGACTACAGTAATTTCATTGCGAATTTTCCAGTAACCCTTATCATCGCGAACCCTTTCTTCCTAGCCGCCGCTATAATTAACCGGCTCCTCTGCTCTAGCTAATATTCGCCGTATTCCCATTAGCTCCCTAACCCGACCATACCCAACGACAACCTACGACCTACGTCTACAAATCGAATGAACGTGTAACAAGCTAACGACGATTCATGGTTGGGTTCGTTTATCGAATAAAGTAGCTGATATGTTTAAAATACGTTGTCGTGAAGTAATTATAAAATTTCAAAGTTTTATTTCATATGGAAATTTAATATAGAGAAAGTTTACTGTGCGTTTTATATTATTCATTTGTCCTTCCACAAAGAATAATAGGAAAATGTGAAGTAATCAGAGAAAAATATAATTTTTGATTCTTAGCCCCTTGACGTATGATTTCTTTTCGTGACTACGCATCTAAGAGTCAACTATTTACTGCTTTAGTACTGTATTAAGTAAGAAGAGCTAATGTATTATAGATTTATTAAATTTGGCAATCTTCTGTTTTATAAATTAAATTAAAAATTAGAATTGAAATTAATTTTTCTTACTGATATAACTGTTTTTATTAGATATTGACCAAAATCTGTGGTACGAGTCCGACTCGTTGCCATGCGGCAAGGGGTTAATAGAAAAAGTAATGGAATGAACTACAGTAAATTCTCTACAAGAGTCAGTAAGTTTGGATTCTACAAGTGACAGTATAAATGGTCCTACGCCTAGGTCTGCGTCATTGCTGCGCTCATGTTATCTTGCTCGCAGTCAGTCAAGCGTGTAACGCTACACCAGTCGGTTTCCTTTACGAGATTACACGGCTTGCCAAATCATAAC